ATTAAATTAAACAGAATTTAAATAATTGATGTTATAATATTTTAAATTAAATCCTGCATCACACAATTTGGATGAATTATATTAAAAGTTTTTATTGAATGGAAATTCAATAATATATTTAATTGATATTTTATTGAAATTAACTAAAGATAAACATAAATAATAAGAAGTATTAAATTTGTTCATTCCAAATGAAAAGGTTAGTCATAAATAATTGAGGAGAGAATAATTAGAAAATGGAGATGTTAAATTTTTAAAAGTATTAATATCAGATGAAAATTATGAATAAAGTGTAGATTTAACAGATTATTTTAATAATTTATTGATAAATCATTATTTAAAATATAACTCATATGATATATTGTTTGTTGATCATAATAATAGATTATACTTATTAGATAATGCAGGATCATTTTTGTAATAACTACGAACATGTAATTATTATATTGTTATTTTTAGAAACCTTGATATTAAGATTGAAATTTAGTAGTTTTGGTAATATAAGAAATATTCAATACTAAATAACAAAATAATTTAAATTGATAAAAGAATTATAGACTACTGCAACATCAATTAAAGAATTATTAGAAAACAATAAGAGAATATTATCATTGGATAATAATTAAACATTAATGAAAAAGGAACTATAGAAATTTAATTAACATCTCGTATATTTGAGATGCAGATTTGGATCTAAACAATTAGAAACATGTGATGTAATAGGATAAATAATAAACAAAAATGACTAGTTATAATACTATGTGATTCAACTTGAAAATTAAAAAAGAATTATCGTATATAAGGAAGATGTGTTATTATTTAATAGTATTTTATTAGAAGAATTATAAGTGTATGATAAGATATGGAAATAAAAACGATGATAATATAATTTTAATAAATAAAATCATTATTAAAATATCACAAAAATCTAATTCTTTATTAAAATCTTGTATCCACATTTGACAGTCAATCATATATATTAAACTTAAGAATCTCATTATCAATTTCTCTTTTAATATCTTATTTCCAGATATCCTACTAAGAAATAAAAGAATAAGGATATATCTATAATCACTATATTAAAATTTCAAATATCTTGAATCAATATATTTTCCATATAGAAATAACAAATGATATTAATTCAACTATACAATTGAATCATCATCTAACAACTTATTACTATAAATGTTAAGAAATTATCTCTTCAAATTAAGATTCCTTGTATTATTTAATTCGATAACTGTACTTTAGGCAATAGATCATCTTAATATATTTATATTTATATTCTCAATTATTAAACATTTTATGTAATACACCATATTTGATCAATTCTCTTTCTGCTTTTGCATATCCAAATTGTGCTGCCAATACTTATAATGCTTCAATATTAAATCTATAAAATATTAGCTTAACTTACCTTGCCAAATAATTCTTATACTCAATTTCTTTAATTAACCTTTATAATTCTGTTTCTTCCATTTTCTTAAATTAAGTCTCCTTCAATTCAATATCTTTTTGAATTTATTGATATTCTTTTATCAATTTATCTTTTTCAAAGTTATTTATTTCACTAAACACTATTGATTATTCTTAAGCACCATCCTACTTAAACATTTTTGAAATCTTCCTTGAAGCTTCTAAATAGATAATATCATTTAGGGTTTCTTTGCTTTAAAATATTTAAGTAAATGTTTTTTCTATTAATTTATATTCTGTTGGACTTAATCCTTCTATTAATAAGGCTACATCATTTTATTATCGTTATTTTATTTAATCAAGATTATATTTTTTTATTTCTATTGAATCAATCTATGAGAAATGATTTTTTGATAATAGAGACACAATTGAATTATTTCCTGTGTCTATTGTATTGTCTCTATAATTTCTAAATAAGAAATGAGCTTTTTTAAATAAATCATTTAATTCAATTGTTTTTTTAGTTTTAATTAAAAGAAAATCTTTTGCTTTACTATCCAAATAAGGTGGAAAATTAGAATCTGCTATTTTTTCACCTGAATCCCAAATAGCCTTAATTATCCAAGATAAACCTTAAGATCTACAATCTAAGCCTAATTTAAGAAGTTCTAATAAAAAGCCTTAAATAGATTTTAGAAGTGTCTTGTTGTTTTTATTAAGTTTAGAGTTTTCTTACTCTAATTTTTCTATTTATATTGAATTCATTTTCATTTATTATTGAAATTTACTATAATTTTCCTTCATTTATTCAATTTAACTTTCTAATTCATTTTATTTTATTGCAATCACCATATAATTGTCAACTTAACTAGAATTATTTTTAATATTAGGTGAATTAATTGACTATTATGGTTTTTTATTAATTCCTATAAGTTCTTCCTATCTTTCTTTTATCTAAAATAAATTATAAAAATATTACAAAATCTTATATTGCCCTTAATTTCTTATGTATTTCATGATTTTCAATTCTTAATGATTCTAAATCTTATTCATTTCTTTTTACAGTATTTTTTTATCTATCAAGTCTTTAATTTATAGATAATAAAATTTAATTAGTTTATTTTTCATAAAATACTGCTCTATCATTTGCATTTTAAAAGGATGTTAATTACATTTTAATCATAGTATGTAAACTACTCTTTAATCCTTCAACAGTATAATCAAAAATCAAAGTTCCATCTTTTTAATCCTATCCATATTATTTAGCTTTTGCTAATTCTATTTATGCTAATTCTTATTGTGTTAAAGTAGATCCTTATTATAAATATTTGTCTAATTATTTATTTATAGAATGATCTTAATGAAGCATCTAAATCTTTTTAATTGCCGTTATTTTTTACAAAGATCCTTATAACTTTTACTTAAAAGTGCTTTATTCACTTTCTGTTTTTGCTGAATCAATTAGTAATTTAGGAAAAGATGATATAGCTTATAATTGTTTAGATTTATCATTTAAACCTCCTCTCCTTAATTATATTAAGGATTATGTTCTTTCTTACATTTATACTTTAGTCAATCCTTTTAAATCTTAAAAATTATAGTACTTTCATTCTCTTACTCTTATTTTAATTTATCTTATTGTTGTTTTTGTTTCCTCTTTATTCCTTTATACCATTAATCTAAATTTACAACTAATTGATCATCACTTTCAGGTTTATATTGTAAATCAGCTTTAAATTATTCCTCTTAATGAAATTTCTTATTTATAGAAATTACATTTTTTCCAGGATCCTCTTCTAATTTCTCATAACTCACAAATACTCTTTAATGTATTACATCTCTTGTAACAATAACTTTGAGCCTGGCTCATTAGATAATCTAGACCTTAATTTACTTTCTAAATCAGTTCTATATACTCTCTTATGTAATTTAATTGGTTTCTTTTTAGAGTCTTTTAAAGAGGCTATCATTTCATCCTAATCAGGTTACACTATATCGTAAAATTAAATTGTATTCATTTCATCATTCAATATTTTCTTTCTCATGTCTTGCATAACTAAATTCTCAATTTCCAAATCTGTATTTGGCTTGTATCTTGTTCTTATTATTTCAGGTGCAGATTAAAGATTAATCCTATTATTTATTTTTTTATTCATAAAATATAATATCTCAACAGATCACATTTTAAATTTTGATTGTTACTTTATGAAAAATATACTATAAAAATGAAATCTAGTGTTTTAAATAATTTTATTTTGGAAATTTTTCAATTTTCTAAATTTGTTATATATATTTATGCCTCAAAATTTTGGCAATGGAACTTCATTGTCTAATTTGACAATAACTCTTCCTAAATTCTTTCCCAAGAATACTTTTTATAAACCTAATGTCACATTCTCTAATCCATTGATGAATTCTTCTTTATGTCTATACATATAAGTATTCAATATTACTAAATATGTTTTCCCATTACTAATTCATTCATTTCTTTGAATGATTCCATAATTGCATTCTTTTAACCAAAATACAATATTCCTTCAGCTTTAATTTATTTAGTAATAAAGTGGGATAAATTTTTTAATCCTCCTCTATTTTTCCATGTATAATATGTAGCAGTTGCTCCACATAATACTATAAATGCTCCCTTATTCATGGCTGGCAATACTGCATCTAAGACTTCCTCTCCTGAATTGTCATACATTGCATCTATTCCTTCAGGTGCTGCTTACTTAATTAATTTTGTCAATTTGCTAATTAAGAATATGTTAATTTATGTACTCTGTATCAACAACTCCATTAGAATCTAATGTGTCATTGTAACACACACAAGCATCAGCTCCAAGGGAAAGTACAAAGTCTTTCTTATCTCTACTACTCACGATACCAACAGTTCTATAGCCCCAATATTTTCCTATTTATAGAGCAAATGATCCTGTTGATCCTGCAGCTGAAGAAACTACAAGAGTCTTCTTGGATTCTTTGGTAGGAAGATTCTCTTTAGGAATTTGATGTAATCCTTTGAGAGCAGTGATACCTGTGACACCATAACTAAATTATCACAATTAAAATATACACAGACAAAAAGAGAGGCAAGTTTGGATCATGTTTTGATTTGACTGCTGGCAATTTGAATATTGTATTAGCTGATCTAACACAATAGTCTGCACAATCTAAAGCACCTAAGACTAAATCTCCTTTATTAAATCTTTTGCTTTTTGATTCAGCAACAACTCCACATCCGAAAGCAGGAATGACTTGTCCTTGATGTACAGTATCAATATAAGTTTTTGCTCCAGAAAACCATACTCTCATAACAGGATCGATGCTAACATAGCAAACTTTAATAAGAAGATCATTTTCCTTAAGATTGGTTGGAATAGGAAAGTCCTTCAAATCAAAGAAGTCAATATTCTTTGGAAAACTTTCATCTGGATATCTACGAAGGGTTACTCCTCTCATTTTAATAATGTAAAATTAAAGATTTAAACAAATTTTATGAACGTTGACTTGCATTAATGTGTAATTTTGATGACTCAAAAACAATATTATTATCAATTATCAAAAATATATAAATACTATAAATTTCATTTAGTTTTAGGTGAGTATCCAGCAGGACTCTTAACCCCAGTTAGATTTGGTTCTTAAAACATATAAGAGTCTTATTTTTCTAGAGATAACTCCTTGATACTAACATTCTCTTCTTCAATAAGTTCTAATTTTCTTATTATTTTTTCTTTAATTAATGCCATTTTACTAATTTATGCATCTTCAGGAAGTTTCTAAATGATAATAATAAGTTTATTGAGTTTTCTAAGTTAATAACTTTTCACTGTATTAATTCTCTATGCTATAGATTGATAGTTTATACCTCAGTAATATCTTATGTTTCTCTTTATAGATTTCTATTGCGTTACATTTAACGTCTGATTTCTTCTAAAAGAGATCTTTAATTTGATTATAATTCTACAAGTTATTTACGAAGCTTTTCATGTTCATTGAGATAGGATTCTTATTCAAATTCTTTAGTTAAACATTCTAAACTTTATTTTATATCATCTTAATTTCTTCTTTTGATATTCAATAAATTATTCCTAATGAAATAATACAAAATTATTACTTGAGACCTCTTCTAAATTATGAATGTTGGAATTCACTTTTACCTTATTTATTTTTTAACTTCTTAAATCCATACATATTTAGTTATCTAGTATTATATTATTATTTAACTACCTCAAAAAACTCTAATAATTACGATGCTTGAAATATTAAGGCATTATTTGTTCTGTTAATAATGATGAATCCAAAATCTAAAATGTAGTACCTTCCTTATTCCATCCAATAGCTTTTTATTCGGACTCAATAATAACAAATTTTCTATTACTTCAAGAATTTCATATAATTTTTATAGAAATGATGGTATTTGTTTGATTTCTTACATATTTTTGATAAATTATTATTAAAGAATAAAATAAATTAAAATGTAGCAGTCTCAATTATAAGTGTTTGATGTATTCCGAGGAATCTCAACTTTCTTAACAATCAAGGATATACTGAATCTTTAGACAGTATCAAAATAAATGAAGGAAAATGTATAATTAACTTTGAAAGCACTTTTGGCAAGTATTGGATTCAATAATCCAAATACAACTACTCCATACAATATAATATTTCGTACTATTTTTGGAAGAGAGACTTACTTTTGGTCATTTGATGAAAGTGTCAAACCTTTCAAAAGACGTCATATTTTAGGAATGCCTGTAAAATCAATTTAAATTGGATTAACATATACAGGCATTCTTACAATTTAAAATAGATTGTATATTTGTTAATCACATGAATATTAAGAATTTATCAATCAGAAACCAAATTTTATAATTAAGTAAGTTATTTAAATGCTTATTATTTAAGATTATAAGTAAAATAATTTTCAACAACTAGTAAAGGAAAATTTATATATTTGAAAGAGAATGGTGATTTAAATATTGTATTTGAAAATCTTGAAGAATATTTGATTGCTAAAAATGTTGATTTTTTTGAAACTTCTTATTATTAACTTGTTGCAATATTTTTAAATCCTTAAAAAATACCATAATTACCTTCAGAATAAACTAGAGCCATTTTATATTAATTATAAGATTTAACACCTTAGAATTGTGATCAAATATAAAAATACAAACAAATTATTTTACCAGATGATGAAGTATTATATAATCATATCATAGAATATAATTCAAATTGCTATTGGTAGTAATGCTATTTATTATTTATCTAAAACTTAAAAAGTTTATTAATCTGATACAAAGAATGAATAAGTAATAGATCAAATAATTAAAACTGTTCAATAAAATTATTTTGATAAAAAATCTATTATTTCTATTTATAGTGGTCTTAATTATTTTCTAGCACTTGGAAGAGAGAATATTAAATCAATAAAGGAATGGACAAATGAAGAACTTTAAGCATGGCTTTCTAAAATTGGTTTTTCTGATTATGTTAATATTGTTAAATACAATGAGTTTACAGGTTTAGAATTTTCAAAAGAAGCAGTTCATTAAGAATTCTAAAAAAATACTCTAGGACTAATTAATGCTGAATTATAAATTAAATTAAGTACTGAAATTACTAGAGCTATGGAATAATAATATAAAGATTATTAATTATTTGGATGGGGTAAGAATGACTTTGGTTAATTGGCTGTACCATTATCAAATAATGTTTAATATACAAAAGTATCTTTACCTAATTTAGAAGAAGATGATGAAATTATTTAAATTGAATGTGGATGGAAAAATGTTGCTATCTTAACTCATTCAGGTAAGCTTTATTTAACTGAAAATTAATAAAAATAATTAAAAAAAGAAAAAGATATTTAATAATAACCATAATAATTGTAAGATGAGGAAGGAAAGAAAAAAAAGAAGAGTAGACAAGATTAAAAAGATTAAAAAGAATAATAAAAAGATCCAGAATAATAATAATAATAATAATCTAAGTATTGGAGTGATATTTCCAAAATCTTTATCAAATCTAAGTAAATAATATTAAAATTAATAATTTTAGTGATAAAAGAGAATATAAACACTATTATGTAAATCTAAGTAAAGATTATTTAGTTGTTATATGTTCCATTTTTGATAAAAAAATTATATAAAACTATTTTCCAGAAATGTTAGAGCAAAAAGAATTTCAAAAGAAATTTAAACCTACTCTTTAAGTAATTGATAGAATTCTTTGGGATATTAAATTTAATAAAGAAGATTTTATTGTTGGATATGAAGATAGATTTTTGGGAATAATGGAAGTTCCTTTTACAGATTTTATAAATAGTTAAGTGAAAAGTCATAGAGTTTAATATTTTAAATAACATGGTAAAATTGTATGGGATAGATCTCGTAGACTTGATTTATTATGAAATGTTTATAAGATTTAATTGTTTTTAAAAATTATTAAAATAAATAAATAAATTATCTAATTAATATACTTTAATAAATAATAATCAACATTCATCAATATTATAGAATTCTTGATCAGATATAATTTTAGTGAGAGGCTCTATGAATTAGGATGCCAATTATTCTAGAGATGGATGTTTAAATACATCAAGTAATAATTTTGTAATTACTTAATTTTCTTTTTCAAGAGATTATACCTAAAAACATGATATTTTTATATATTATACTTTCTTTTAAATTTTATCATATTCATCTTATAATGGACCTATTTTTTCTAAGGCCTCTCTCTTCTTTTTTTAAGATTCTTTTGCTGAGTTTCTATTCCTTCTAATACTAAATTATATTAAGAATTACATACCATAAACATTTTTTGCAATTACATTCTTCTTCACCATTATAAACACATTTATTTTTTAATTTCTCAATCATTTTTAAATAATAATTTGAACTATTTTTAACTGGTTATTATTCTTAAATTCCATTTTAAATAAGATGATCTAAATATTAGCTTTCTAATTAAAGTAACATAGGTAAAATAAATAAGATTTAGCAATTCATTTATTTATGAATTTTTATAATATTATTGCTAAATTACAATAAATCTAGATCATTTGTTTCTTCAAAAAATACTTAAGTAGCCTTTTTTAAAAAATCTTATGTCGTAGCCTTAAAACTACCCATAATTAATAAATACTATTTTTAGTAAATTTAATACTTCTTAAAATATTTCATCATTATGCAATTTTGATGTCTATTTTACACTTTGAGCAACTAAATCCATAATTAAATTGCTTTTAGTAAAGAAATTATTCATAGATACAGTATATTAATTGAACTGTAATAAAAATATATCTTTAGTCATTTTCTATTATTATTAACTCATCATTTTAAATATAAATGCTGTCCATACATCATCTTAAGTTTTCTTAATCATTTAATGAATCTAAGTAAATCCAATCTATTGACTAAACGTTTAACCATGAGTAATTTAATAAATGTATAACGTATTAAAGAAGATGTCACAAAAGTCATCACGGAACAACAAAAAATTTGCAAGATATTTTGTACCTTATATTATTATTTTAGTGATTACATTAGTCATAATATACTAATTAAGAACGAAACAAGAGCCCTATAGTCTAGAATAAAGAACAACTCATAGTAATTTTAAGTGGATTAGATTTGTATTATGATATAATTTCTTAAACAATTTCCTTATCTCCTTAACAATTTTCAAGTCCATTTATTATTAAATTCCCCATAACTTGTAAGAAATATGGTAATTGTTAATCTAATACATTATTTATATTGATTGTTTGCTTTTAAAGAATCATTTACTAAAAGTATGATGTTATTTAATTTTAAACTTCAATTAAAGTAGGACACTTCCTAAATTATTATTTATTTATAATACGATGCTTGCTAAATTGGTTATTATTGTTATTAGCATTTCTGAATAATTGTGAGTAGCTATTATTTCTACAAATACTAAATAAAATATGATAAATATTATACTTAAATATTTTGTTTCTAACCATTTTCTTCTTATTTGACTTATTATTGTTTCTCTTGCTATTATTATTTCATTATACTCTAAATAAAAACTTGTTAAATGTGATTCATTATTAATTTTAATAATGAAAGAATTAATTACTAGTATTACTTTTTAAGAACTGAAACATATTATAAACTTCAAAAAGAACATATTTAATTTTAATTTATACATATTTTAGAATATATGTTTTTACACAAACATATATATTATATAATATTATATTAACCTTTTATCATAAATAAAATTCAAAATCTATTGAATTCTTACACAATGATATTAATTATATTTTTATTTATTATTTACTAAAAATATTAATTGTTTATTAATACAATAATGTTGACTTTGAAATGTTGAATAGAAAATATATTAATTTTTTTCAAACTAATTATTTTTTTGTTTTAATAAAAGAATTTTTTATTAAATTTATTATTTATTTTTGTCATCAACTGATTATTGTATAGAATCAAAATATTATTTTTAAGAATCATCATTGATATGTTAATGACGATATACTTCTTTACTACAACAATTATTTAATATAAAATTAAATATCAACACTTATATCTTTATTTTTATAACCATCAAAAAAACTAAAATTTATAACATTAGAGAGACATCCTTCTATAGTAATTAAGAATATTATATTATTAAAATTGAACTTTAATAAAATTGGGCAAAGTAGTCTTTATAGAAAATGCAAGTAATTCAATTTATTTCTATCTTTATATTATTTGATGATGAAATTTAACTCATATTAATCATTTTACGATAATTCATAATTTTCTAAATGAAACGAACTCATACAATATTTTCGAAATGCTTTTAGAATATTAAACTCAGAAATTAATTGATTCTAATTGCTTTTGTCTAAGCATTTATAATTATGTCTTATGTTCTAGCATAAAATATGATTCATCTTTCTTTACTTAATGTATACTTTTAAGACACTTCAAATAGTTTGTATAAAGATAATTCAAATAAGATTCAATCATCTATAATCAAATTATATAGAAGTTACTTTGACAAAGTTTTCTATTTAAGTAAAATATATGTCTAATTAGATGGTAACACTCTAATCTCATTTCACAGATTATATCACTATACAAGAAAGCAAGTACTCCTTTAAAATAATTATACAATAAATGATGGTTTCTAAATGCCTTATGGTGGAATTAATCCTATCCCTGATCCATTTCGGATAATTAAAGGATATGGTAATTCTGATATTTCATATTGCTTTATGTGTTATTCAAATTTAAGTTCTTATAGTGAACCTAAGACAATTGATGAATTGATTGGAATAAAAATGCAAGAATAGGTTTAAGCATATGGTTAACTTTTGTATTAAGGAAAAGAGATCAACCAATATTTCTTTTATTCTTATATTGTAAAGGAAAAAATAACATCAATCTATCCTTGTTTAAATAGATAATAAGGAATTTATAGTTATAAACCAGAGTAACGAGATTGGTATATTGAGTTACAAAGGAACTATAATTAAACATTAAATTATAATACATACAATTATACTTTTACAAATCCTTTTATGTGTAATAAAATTATACATTATTACTAGTATTTACTGAAAAACGGATTGGATTATCAATGGCAATGCCTATAGTGGATGAATAAGCCAAATTAATAGGAGGATTAGGATCAATATTCTTAGGAAATGATTTTGTTCAAGAAGTTGGTTAGAAGTAATTTGGATTTTAAATTATATATCTAATTTCAAATGAGGGAATAATGATTATGCATCCTTATCAAGTTTCAAATGAATATCTACCATTATACATATTCAATTAAACAATTACTGGATTTAATTAGATTGATTGGGAAGAGATGAGAAAACAAAATGGATCTTCATCTTGCCCAAAATTTGAGTAATTCAATTCTAGTCTTTAATGTCGATTTAATTCTGTATATAATCAAGAGATGATTATTGGTATTCAAGAAATACCTTAATTCAAGATGATATTAATAATGTATAAATATTTAAATAAAAATAGGTTATAAAGTAGTCAAGAATACATAGAATTTTATTATAAATTTGAAAATTAATTGGAAGATAATTTATAGAAGACTATATCATTAAATATTACAACATTGTTTGGATTGTTGATATTAGCATGCATCTTTATTTATATTATGACTTAGATTCTCTTTTTTCCATTATATGTAGTTTAGAATTATGCATCAAATTTAATCTCATAAAAAAAGAAAGAAGATAAATCTATTCCATTCTTTATTTAAAAATGTATGAGCAAACAAGTTAGATAATTATTATAAACTTTAACATTGATAGAAGATAAATTAGAATAGTTATCTTTTCGAAAGACTGAGTAATGTTCTTTTTTTGAAAATATTTAATTTCCACAATAGAATATATCATTTCAAACTCATCTATAATAATATTAGGAATTCCTTAAAATTCATTGTGTTAAAAAAGTAAAATTATAACAAATTGATAAAGATTAAAATTTTAATTTCCTAAATTAGAATAGTTTTTATTTAAATCAAATTCTATAAGTAATTAGAAAAGCTAATTTATATCAAACTTATTGAGTCTATCTTGATTCATAGAGTATTTGATTATATTTTATATTAATTATAGAATCGATATTATAAAATTTATGTTAATGAATAATTAATCTAAATTATATTAAATTTAACTGCTATGTATAAAAAACATTCGACAGAAAAATTAGTTAGAAAAAATGCATCTCCAACACATGAAAAAGAGAATAACTCTTATGCTAGAAAATATAGTAGAAAACTTTTGAGTAGATAAAGCTATCATGATGAATAAGAAAATGTTAAAGAAAATATATTAACAACATATAATTCTAATACTAATACTATAAATTAAAATGAAAGTATTACACAACTTTAATAAATTATCTAATAATAGAAACGATAAATTTAAAATTATAAAATGGGTTGTCCTAGATGTTTAAATAAATAAAATACAGATTTAGAATTAAGAAATAAAATTTTAGTTTAAAATAACTAAATATTATCATTATTATCTAAGGATACTTAATAATCAGATTATACAGAATTATTTAGAATTAATTAAATGTTATAATAATAAAATGAAGAATTAAAATAAAATAATGAAATTTTGATTTAAAATCAATAAGAAATATTATAAGAGAATTTATATTTAAAAAATTTATTTGCTGAAACAAGTAATAATGCTAATGCCAAAGAAAATTCAAGCTGTAATTTATATAATTATATTTAATAGAATTATTTAGTCTCTCATAATCTTAAGGTAGATTTTCATCAATTTTATAGTTAAACTCATAAGTTCAATCTCCATCACATACTAAATAGCCTCATGATAAATTATTTAACTTATTAAAATGAATTCTGATTTTATTATCCATATATAATATTTTT